TATAGGCCAGGACTCTGCAGTTTACATTCAACTACATGTCAGGATTCAACAGTTTACACTCATCTATAGGCCAGGACTCTGCAGTTTACATTCAACTACATGTCAGGACTCTACAGTTTACACTCATCTATAGGCCAGGACTCTGCAGTTTACATTCAACTACATGTCAGGACTCTACAGTTTACACTCATCTACAGGCCAGGACTCTGCAGTTTACATTCAACTACATGTCAGGACTCTACAGTTTACACTCATCTACAGGCCAGGACTCTGCAGTTTACACTCATCTACAGGTCAGGACTCTACAGTTTACACTCATCTACAGGCCACCGGTCACTCTTTCAGGGATGAGGATGTTCTCATCCTTGATAGAGAGGAACGTTGGTTTGAGAGAGGAGTAAAGGAAGCCATCTTTGTGAAGAAAAACCGTCCATCATTAAACAGAGGTGGAGGCCTTCGTGACCAGTTGTCCTCCTCCTGCAACGCTGTTATTGCAACTATGACTCCGCCCCCTGTGAGCAAAAGGTGTGAATCAGGGCCCCAATGATACCAACACAAAGAGGGAAAAAACAAAAACAAGGGGACGTTGAACCCCGCCTGCATTCACTACATACACACAACACGACACGGGTCAGATGATGGGTCACATGACCCTCTATGAACAACAGAACTAATCAAGCCTATTGTTAGGCGATGTCCCTCTTTTGCATGTGACTAACCTGTTTGTCCATGTGGAGGCGGAGCTTATAAGGCTGAGTTCACCTGAAACTCATCAGACTGAAGAAGTCTCTTGGAGGAGAGACGAAATGTTTCACTAAAGAAGAACCATCCAGAGGACCTACTGATTTTTTATTTTTGATGTATTTTGACACATTTTGTAACAGATTTTTACAGAGAGTAAACCTTTCCCACTAGAGTGATTTAAACTGGTCATGTGATCACACACAGGGGTCCAGGGACTCCAGGGGATTAATTGTTGTCATATTAATTGTTGTCGACTAAATACCACGATTAATCATCATTAATTTTTTTCCAATATCACCCAACCCTTGTAAGGCAAACAGCTTTTGTATTTTCCTGCTCTACAGGCTCTAGAACAGGGGTCTCCAGCTCGTGAGCTCATTAAAGTAGCTCTCCAGTGCTTGTGAAAAATTAGGAGTAGCAAAATGTAACTTGTCACTGGCCAAACAAACTTTCAGTTATATCCAGTCAATCTATAGATGTCCCTCCTTCTTGGTTGTCAATCAAACAATCCAGTGCTCGGTGTGGTCGAACGACAGCCKATCTGTCATGTTTTGGGCTGCTCTGTCTGCCCTCCTGTCTCTCTAGCTCTGTTTACCTGCTCATTGTTTCACCCCTCCCCTCACAGAACAGCAATCAGCCTCATCAGTGTCACCTGCTCAGCTCACTAAATAAGCTCCAGACTCTCACTGCCAGATGTTTGAACGGTTCTTCTAGTAGATGTCCAGCGTTTCTCTCATGTCCTTGCCTGTTTCTCRACCACTGTCTCCTGCCTGCTCCTTCCTGTTACCTACGCTGCATCTGACCCTTGGCTTTCAAACCCATTTCTGCTCTCTGGACACCGTCACCTGGATTCTGATTTGGATTTGTTATTGGATTTCTGACTTCCTGGCTCTGACCTTGGAACACTCTCTGGATTACCAAAACCAGTCTACTCCCTTTATTGGATCTGTACCCTCTCAGATTCCCACCAACTGTGGACTCACCAGTTCAAACCCGTCCACCAATCTAAGGTCAGTAGAAATCCTCTTCTTAAACAAATTCATCTCATCCATCCCTGACGCTCACCAGTGTTCTGCTCCACAGTGTGGTCCGTCCCGAGGGCCCAGAGGGATAAACCTGTTCAACTGGTTTATGTTTCCAGGGTGTCTGAATCAAACACCAACATGTATCACGATCACATGATGTGTGGTCACATGGTTGTTCAGCGTTCATTTTTGCACACATTTTTCACAGCTCCTTGACACACACCAAGCCGAGCTCCTGGTAAGCCCCTCAAAAAGTCCGAGACCCGTCACCCGACGTTATTTATGCCAAAAGTAGCTCTTGGACAATTTCATTTTGTGAAAGTAGCTCTTAAGGAAAAACAGGTTGGAGACCCCTGCTCTAGAAACTCTAGAAGTTTCTAGAGCTTCTCTAGAGCTGTCGACATCTAGCAGCACAGATTAATCTGCCACAGTGGCAGATTAATCTGTGCTGCTAGATGTTGTCAGCAGGTTGGTGGGACCAAAAGCAACAGACTGGATGGAAGAAGGAGAGCAGAATGGAGGTAACGTAGAAGTCAGAGGAAATGGAGTGGGGAGAAGAAAGAACAGGGGGAGTGGATGAGGGATGAGGACCTGATGATTAGAAACAGTCTAGAACACACACACACACACACACACACACACACACACACACA